GGCTCGCGCACTCGTCCTCCCCCCAGGGACGGTGACTGGCTCCGAGCAGCGAGCGGGCGCTGAGTGCCCGGTGCGCTACAGGCTGAACCTGTCCTGTCTCCCGGCAACCCTGTGCGGCGGGTACCAGGGGAAACCGAGGCACGCGGCTGCGAAGGGCAGGGCGAGACCCTGAGCCCAGGCCCGCCTGGCCCTGGGGTCTTGCTCTGTCCCGCTGCGTGGCCGGCCCCGCGGAGCGGTCGCCGGGAAGCCGTTGGAGGGTGGGAGCGTTTGAAGTTGTCGGGGCCTGACTTTCACACCGTCCCTATCCCCCTGCACAGTGAGAGTGGCGTTCTAGAACGTCTGCTGGCGGCAGGCAGCGGGCCGGGTGTGGTCTGTCGGCTCCCACCTGGCCCGTCACACTGCCCAGAGACGGGGGGCTCAGAGCCCGGCCGGGAGACCACTGCTCGCGGCGGCTCAGAGGCTCTGCGCTTTGCCTTCTCTCTCCCAAAGGGCGCGCCGCCAGCGCGTGAGCAGACGGGAGGGGCCCGCGGGCCCCACTGCGGCTTCAGGAGCGGCAGCAACGGCAGACTCTCAGCGACCAGGTCGCTGCTGCCTCCTTACGACCTGGTCTACACCGGGAACACCCAGGTGAAACAGCGGGTTCCCCGGCCTGGATAAAACCCCCTCCTGGTAGTCCTCACGGGAGCCGGCCGGCTGTCTCCCCTCCTGGACTGACGGACACCTCTGTCCGCGAGCTCGACGCCCTGGCCGGTCTGTCCTAGGGGAGCTCGAGAATTGCTACACTCCACGGCTAAACATCCTCCCGGCGATCGTCTAATCAAAAGGAACCGGGAGCTCCGGCAAAGACCGTATCAGGACGAGCAGCTGTTCCTCGCGCGCCTCGCTAGGAGTCTGCCGACGTGTCTGCAAGGACGAGGAAACCCTACCGGGGAACAGAACCACAGAACGCCCGCGAAACTCAAGTCCGACCCTGACGTGTTACAAGGACGGACCAGCCAGCTCTGACCCAGGCGTCTGAAAAGCCACCAGCGTCTCTCAAGCAATCCCGGGGCGGCTGCCACGACCAGAAGCAAACCGAGATGCCAGGCGTGGTCCCTGAAGGCCAGGCGGGCGGGCGCACAGCGACAGAGGCCGTCTGCGCGGCTGACACGGGGTGGGGGGGTGGGGAGGGAGGAAGCGTGAGCAGAGGACGTCACCTTGGAATCCGTGGCCAGGAGAACCGTGCCGTCCTCGCGGATCAAAGGCTGCTGGATGTTCACAAGCATCCCTGGATCAAGAAGACCTGTTTGTCTATTCAAGACATAAAGAGACCCAGAGTAGCTTCCAACGTCGTGTGCACGGCAGGGCAGGGGGCACTAAGCGGTCTGAGCAGCGGACAGGCCCTAACTGGACTCGGCCACGGAGCGGCCCAAGGGCCCCTGCTCCCTGCGGTGAGACGAGCTCAAACTCGGGCCACAGCTCGAACAGGACGACTCAGAGCCACCCCCCGGGCTTTCCCGCCAAGAACGTGAGTTTCATCTTCAGAAAATCACCGACTCCGGGTCTTTGTGTGATGCGCCCTAGGTTTCCTCCCTTCCCTCTTTCTGTTCCGTTTAACATAAACTCTCTAGAAGACAGTAAAAGGACGCGCAGATCAACCTGCGGCACCACCTGGGACCTCGCCTCGCCCTAAACCTTTCGCCTGCGCTGCAGAAAGCCCCAGCCTGGCATTTCAGACGATCGCTTTCCTGCCTGAACGAGGCCTGCGTGGAAAACCTCAGTCCGAGCCCCAGAGAGGAAAACTCGACCCCACTCCAAACGGGCGTCCTCAGCCTGCCCGCAGGCGTGACCGGCAGCGCCAGCGTGGGCTGGGGCGGGGCCGGGAGCCACACCGGCGCCCTCCCGGGGGCCCCCTGCCGCCCCCGACGGCTGCGAGGCTGAGAGCTGGGACTGACCTCGCTCCGTCCTTGTCCGCCACGAACGTGGGCGTGGCGATCAGGGGGCTTCTCAGGTCCTTGCGGATGTAGATCTTCTCCGTGGAGGCGGCGCAGTTGCTGGGCTTCTCCCGCTGCACGTCGAACGGCTTCCGCTCACTCTGCACAGCTTGAACCACAGCACACACGTTCGCGCTTAAGGGAGGGACGCGGACCAAGGGACACGCGGCCCTCGCGGCGAAGCGGGGGCTCCTCAGCAAGTCCCTCCCGTGCCCGATCCGCCCACTCAGCCTCCACGCGGACCCTCAGCCGGAGGACGGGTCTGAAACCGGCCCGTGCCACGCTGGATCTCAAAGGCACGGAGCAGAGCGCGAGGCGGCGGCTCTGCCCGCCAAGGAACCGCAGCTCCGTGCCCGTGTCGCCCGTGGAGCCCCCGACTGAGCCCTCTGCATTTTCACTTTTTGCTGCTGACAAAACGGACCGGCCCCGGGACGGGAAACGCCGTCCTCCAGCGGGCCCTGTAGAGAGCCTGTCCCGTGCCACCCGCCACAGAGGAAACACCCCGGTTCCCAGCTGGCAAGCGAGGGTGCGGTTCTGCAACACCCGGAGCCCAGCCCCGGCTGCGGGAACCGAGAGGAGGGCTGGGGACCTTCCCGGCCGCCCGCGTGCGGGACAGCGGCTCTCCCTCACGGTCCCAGCCGCACAGCGGCGGCGGCGGCCCGGCCCCAGGGAGGGCACAGGCCAAGACCCGTGAGCCGGGCGAGGCTCGCTGGATGCTCGGGCGGCAGGTGAGGGAGCGAAGGGCTCCGGCTCGCAGACGAGGGGCCTGCGGCCGAGAGGCGACAGGTCTCCCCGGTCTTCGGCCGCCGCGCTGGAGCCGGATTTGGCGCCGGCTGTGTTCCGAGCTCTGTGCCCCCCGCCCCGCCCGCGACAGGGCTCTCCGTGCACCGCGAGGACGGACGGACCGACCCCGCCCGGGCCGGTTCTCCACCACCGGGGCGACCCAGAAGGGCGACCGAGATGCGGCCTGAGCGGGGCGTGTTTATAGGGGATTTTACGGCCAGGAACGGAGACCCGCTCTAGCAGACGCCTGCTCGCTGCCGCCCTCCGCGCGGCCTCGGGCTCGAGCGCCGCTACTCACATTCCATTTTCATGCCCATCTGCAGGCATTTCTTGAGGCGGCAGAACTGGCAGCGGTTGCGGTGGTGCTTGTTGATGACGCAGTCCTGGTTGCTCCGGCAGCTGTAGGTCAGGTTCTTCCTCACGCTCCTTTTGAAGAAGCCCTTGCAGCCTTCACAGCTGACGGCCCCATAGTGGCGGCCTGGAAGGAGAAAGGGAGGACGTGACTGTTCTCTGAGCGTCCCCACTGTGCGGATTCACCCAGAGAGGGACCGTCACCGGCCCCGGTGAGCCGCACCAAAGCGACGCGTGCGCGCAGCCGTGTGGACGGCCGCGTCTTTCACTAATCTCTCTGTGACCTTCGCCGCAGCCTTGCGAGATTGTGATGGAAACACCCAAGTTCAGGCAGTTACGCGGCAGCTGGCGCGACCCCACTGCTCCGAGTGTGCAAAGCACCCGCCCGCCGGCAGGCGCCCTGCCGCCCACCTGCGCGCTCCTGGTCCCGGCCCCGCAGACCTGGGCTCGCCGCGCCGCCCGGCCCCCGCCCCGCACACACGGTCTCCCCCCGGTTCACTCCCGCGCTCTGACCCGCGTCCTGAGCCTGCGGCCCCCCTGGAGGAGGCAGATCGGTCCCCGGACAAGCTTGGGGACCGGGGCCGTGAAGGCCCAAGGCGAAGGAAGGTCCCCACAGGGCTGGCGGAGGCCAGCTACTCGGAGCCCTCGAGACACGGTCCTAGAATATATTCAGTAAATACTGTTTGTTTGCTAATCCTGTCCTCTTCTGTGTCCCCGAATTTTACTTTCTAATTGGCGCACTGTCATTGCACATACTTGCGGGGTGCAATCGGGTGTTTCCGTGCGTGTGCGTGGCGTACAGTGATGGAAGCATGACCGTTACCCACGCACTCACAACTTCTTCGTGGGAGGGGATTCGGAAGCCTCTCTTCTAGGGGTTGAGAAATACGGAATACCTGACCGCTAACAGTGCCACCCCGCCCTGCAACGGAACGCCACAACTTACTCCTGCCGCCCGCCGCCACTCTGCGCCCGTCGGCCGACCTGCCTCCACCCCCCGCCCCTGCCCGGTCTCCGGTAACCGCGCTTCTGCTCTGCTTCTGCGATGCCAACTCTTCTTTTTTTTTTAAGATTCCACACGTAAGTGAGATCACGTGGTATTTGCCTTTCTGTGTCTGGCTAATTTCACCGAACACGATGGTTTATCCACGTTGTCACGAATGGCAGGATTTCATCGTTTTCTGTGGCGGAATGGTATTCCACTTTGTACGTACACCACGTTTTCATTTTCTTTAGCCATTCATCGCTGTTGGGTCGATTCCGTATCTTGGCTATTTTGAGTAGTGCTGCAATTAACACAGGAGTACAGACGTCCCTTCGACATGCTGACCTCGTTTCCTCTGGAGACACACCCGGTGGTGGGATTGCTCAATCATATGTAGTTCTTTTTTTTTTTTTTGAGACAGAGTCTCGCTCTGTCGCCCGGGTTAGAGTGCCGTGGCGTCAGCCTCGCTCACAGCAACCTCCAACTCCTGGGCTCAAGCGATCCTCCTGCCTCAGCCTCCCAAGTAGCTGGGACTAACAGGCATGTGCCACCGTGCCCGGCTAATTTTTTCTATGTATTTTTAGTTGTCCGATCAATTTCTTTCTATTTTTAGTATAGATGGATTATCATAATTAAATTTAAAAGTTATATATAATAAATAGAATCATATAGTATGTAAAATTTTGGGTTTGGCTTTTTTTGTTTCACATAATTCCCTAAGG